AAGACCCCATCCTTATAAAAAATAAAAATAAAAATAAAGAACAATGTTAATAATTTAAATATATCAATTAAAAGACAGAGATTGGCAGAAAAAATTAAAAAATCCAACATGACCCAACTTTATGCTGTTTACAGGAAACTCACTACAGTAAGTCCCCTGCATTGAACAAGTTCCATTCCAAGAGTGTGTTCGTAAGTTCAATTTGTTCATAAGTCCAACAAAGTGAGCCTAGGTACCCAACTAACACAATTGGTTATACAGTAGTCACTGTATAATGGCTATATCACCACTGTTCTTACACTTGCTTCTGGAAATCCCGGGCCTGAAATAAAGATACAGTATTACTATACGCTATACAGTGCAAACTTGCAAAGATGTGAACACGTAGCTGGGCTCGGTGGCTCAGCCTATAATCCCGCACCTTTGGGAGGCTGAGGTGAGTGGATTGCCTGAGCCCGCGGGTTTGAGACCCGCCTGGGCCACTTGGCGAGACCTCATCTCTACAATAAATCAAAAAATCAGCTGGGCGTGGTAGCGCATGCCTATAATTCTGGCTACTCGGAAGGCTGAGGCGGAAGGATCGCCGGAGCCCAGCAGGTCGAGGCTGCGGTGGCCGGGAGTGGCCACTGCACTCCAGTCTGGACGACAGAGTGAGACTCCAACTCAAAAAAAAAAAAAGATGTGAACACGTGTTCGCATGTTTAGTCATTAAGTTAGTTCATGTGCCTGGCATACATCCCTATGTGCATTTTTCCTCTACAAGTGGTTGTGTTTTTGTGCACTTTACTGTACAGACCTGTTACTTCCAGACTTGTGGTTCATTTTTGGTTAGGGCCACCCCATTATATGGGAAAAGGTACCCAACTGATCTTAGTTTCTCCTAGTCCTAAGTCACCAGGACTTCTGCTTCATTTTCTACTTACGTATGAGACCCCCAAATGACCAGTCTAGTCAGGAGATGTGAGCCTTCCCCGGTAGGCTGTTCCACTCCCAGTTTTCTGTCTCATGGGAGGGGACAAAGGAAATAGTTGCTTGCCTCTAAGGTCAGCAAGGGACATGATTTCAGCAAATATTTGCCTATTTGTGGTGCTCCACTCAGATCTCCCTTAGGGAAAACGTACAGTGAGGAGTCTATTTGGCTGACAGTCTCAGGTTTCCACTTCTTAAGATCTTTTGCAGTGTTCATACCAAAGTCACTCTCTGCAGGTTGCTCTCAGCCAATGACTTGCGGAGAGTGCTAAGGCCAGGCCACGTCTGCCAGATACGGAGCTCCTCAGTCAGGTGATCTTTGCTCTGGGGCTCCCTGTAAGTCTGGCCAAGATTTTCTGAGAGTCATTTTCCCCTTTGTCCTTTCATACATGTCTGTCACTGTGATCTACAGGTTCTCCCAATCCACTCATTATATCTCCTCTTTATCCTTCAAAGGCCTCTCCTCCAATGTTTCTTGCATTTTTTTTAGATTAGAAAATATAATTTATTTAAAAGTAAAGAGAGAGAGAGAAGATTCACCTCCCCAAGGTAGGGAAGGGGGGATTCTTGCATTTCTAGTTCCACCTAGACAGCTTCATCCTGGAGGACCTGAACTGCCATGACCTCATCAGAGATTGTTCAGGTATCAGAAACTCCTCAACAGCATGAGAGTTTTTTTTTACAGCATCTACCTCTCACTCCCACATTTGTATTAGGCCAAGGCAGAAAACCACTGAGACCCAGAATGAGGAGAAATCAGAAAAAAGCTTTTTACTCATTTAAAAATTTCAAAAGAAAAGAAGACAGGCTTGGTGGCTCAGCCTGTAATCCCATGCTTTGGGAGGCTAAGGTGAGTGGATTGCCTGAGCCCGCAGGTTCGAGACCTGCCTGGGCAACTTGGTGAGAACTCATCTCTACAATAAATCAAAAATTTAGCCAGGTGTGGTAGCACGTGCCTGTAGTTCCAGCTACTTGGAAGGCTGAGGCAGAAGGATCCCCGGAGCCCAGCAGGTCGAGGCTGTGGTGGCCAGGAGCGGCCACTGCACTCCAGCCTGGGCAACAGAGTGAGACACCAACTCAACAAATAAATAGATAGATAGATAGATAAACAAACAAACATGAAAATTTCAAAAAAGTAAATAAGTGGAAAAGGATTAAAAACACCTCTTGTGCCTATTACATAGTAAATAGTTTATATTGCTAACACAAACTGATAGAAGAAATAGGGACTAAGTTCCAAAGAGGGATAGAAGGTTGGGGCCCCATTCTGGGCATTTCTTAGAAAGGCAGTTACCAGTCAGGCATGGTGGCTCACGCCTATAATCCCAGCACTTTGGGAGGTGACAGGATTGTCTGAATCTAGGGATTTAAGACCAGACTGGGTAACTTGGCGAGACTCTGTCTCTACAGTAAATCAAAAAATTAGACAGGTGTGGTGGCAAGTGCCTGTACTTCCAGCTACTTGGAAGGTTGAGGTGAAGGATTGCTTGAGTCCAGCAGGTGAGGTGGCTGTGAGCGTGCACTGTACTCCAGCCTGGGTAACAGAGTGACTCCAACTCAAAAAAAAATAAAAGGCAGCTACCGGGACAGCAGGACACAGCAAAGAAGCAGCACAGCCAGAATCATGATGGGACAGCAGGACGGCCCCATGGAAGAAAGCAGTGTACAGGCTGGGAAGTAGAGAGGGGCTCACAGTGAAGAGATACCAAAACTGGTCACAGTCAGAAAGTGTCTTAGCCCTTGGAAACTTCAATTACCATGGACATAGTTTCACTCCCACCTTTAGAGGTTGTGGGAGATCCTCACCTGTTCAGGAAAGAAATCAAGTCAAAGAAATAAGACAGCCAGGTGGTAGTTCACACCTGTAATTCCAGCACTTTGGGAGGCTGAGGTGGGTGGATTGCTTGGGCCCAGGATGATTGCAAGACCACCTAGGCAACATAGTGAAACCTCCTCTCTACAAAAAAAAAATTTTTTTATTTTTTTTTGAGTTGGAGTCTTACTCTGTCGCCCAGACTGGAGTGCAGTGGCCGCTCCCAGCCACTGCAGCCTCAACCTGCTGGGCTCCGGCGATCCTTCCGCCTCAGCCTTCTAAGTAGCCGGAATTACAGGCATGCACTACAACGCCCGGCTGAATTTTTTTAATTTTTATTGTAGAGATGAGGTCTTGCTGCCCAGGCGGGTCTTGAACCCACAGGCTCAGGCAATCCACTCACCTCAGCCTCCCAAAGGAGCGGGATTACAGGCTGAGCCACCGAGCCCGGCTTACAAAAAATTTTTAAGAAAGACTAGCCTGGCGTGGTGTGCATTTATAGTCCCAGCTACTTGGGATGCTTAGGTAGGATAATTTGAGCCCAGGAGGTCGAGGCTGCTGTGAGCCGTGATCATTGTCATTTCCGCCTGGATAACAGAGTGTGACCCAACTCAAAGAAAAAAAAAGAAAAGAAAGAAAGAAACAAGACAAACCAAATGCATGCATTACCTCAGTCTCTCTGATCTGGATGACTATTTTCTGAATTTCACCTTCACCCCATCTTAGGAAATATAGGGAGCAAGAAAGCTGATGGTTTCCAAGAACAGCTAAGTTCATGACATCTGCAGTATTTATCTCTTTCCCACACAGATTTTGTACCTTCCTCTGCCCTGTGCTGACAAAATAACTTTTTCTTCCGTTGTGGCTGCTGCTTTTTCCTGCTGCGTACTCTTGTCACCCCAAGAATTTAACCTGGACAAAGGATCTTGAGGTAAAAATGTTTTTCTGTGTCTTCTGAGGGAAAGGAAGCAGAAGAAAAGGAACAGTTGATGGTCTCTTTTAACCCTAAAACTCTAAAGTTCTTCTTCTAAGAACATAGCGAGGGAAGGCTGGGGAACTTAGGCTGGCAAGTCAGACTGAGATCCATAACTTTTTTTTTTTTTTTGAGTTGGAGTCTCACTCTGTCACCCATAC